CATTGATGACTAAAAATGTACAAAATTTAAAAAATGTTAAAGTTAGTAGATAAGTGACTTGGTGCCACAGAGTCTGCATTCCATTTTGTCAAGGGAGATTACTGATGTTTATCTTAGAATGATTGATGGATATAATATCCTGCTTGGGGTACGAGGTCATGACATCAAAGAATGGAGTGCCCATTGATGGTTGCCAGATGGTGGTCAAGGAACGTGTAACCTAGGGTATATAAAGCGAGAGATTTCTTTATGTGGTCAGTTCGAATGACAAAAGGGCAAAGCTCTCGCCATTTGTTATACGAACCCACAGGACCGTGATCAAATGAATACTTTGCCTGATATCTCCACCTAAGTGTTAAATATCTTCTTGCATCATGAATTACTTGATACCCGAGAAACTCATCATAACAACATGGTCTGCGGTTGAGAGGCCGGTTGGACGTACTGCCAAATTCTCTAAAATGACGTTGGAGGCGGCTTATGGTAGAAAAATGAACATTAAATGATCTGGCAACAGCTCTGGTGGACATTCCTGCAGTCAGCATACCAACTGCACACTCAAAACTTGAGGCATCTGTGGCATTGTGTTGTGTGACAAAACTGCACATTTTAGAGTGGCCTTTTATTTATGAGAAATGCTCACTAACAGGGATGTAAACAAAGTTGTGCACAACATTTGAGAAAAAATACATATACATACATATACATACATACATACATACATACATACATACATACATACCTACCTACCTACATACATACACATACATATATATACATACACATACATACACATATATATATCCTTTAAAAAATATATATTTCCCTTTATTACTTTCCAACCCCACCACCCATTTTACATTTTAGTCATTTAGCAGACGCTCTTATCCAGAGCTAATACAGTTAGTGAGTGCATACATTTTTCATACTGGCTCCCCGTGGGAATCGAACCCACAACCCTGGCATTGCAAGCACCATGCTCTACCAACTGAGCTACAGGAGGCCTAATTGGTATGAATACTTTCTGAAGACACTGTGGCATAATCCCTTTGCCATCATTCACTGGCTTCTGAATGTATTCTGAAGCATCTATTATGCCTTAGAAAGGGTTTATGAGGGCTTAAAATATGTAGTTACATTTACATTTTAGTAGACGCTCTTATCCAGAGCGACTTACAGTTAGTGAGTGCATACAATTTTTATTTTTTATTTTTTTCATACTGGCCCCCCGTGGGAATCAAACCCACAACCCTGAAGCATCTACCAGCTGAGCTACATCCCTGCCTGCCATTCCCTCCCCTACCCTGGACGACGCTGTGCCAATTGTGCGCCGCCCCATGGGTCTCCCGGTCCTGATTCGAACCAGGATCTCTAGTGGCACAGCTAGCACTGCGATGCATTGCCTTAGACCACTGTGCCACTCGGACCTTGTCTTCCTATCATTCAACTTTTTTTTATTACGGTTCACATGTTCTTTGAGGAAAAAACTAACAGGACTTGACTGACATGCAAACCGATAATTTCTGAAATGGTTCAAATTAGGTTACGGCAGGGTTAGTGGTAGGTTAGGTTAGGGTTAAGGTTAGGATTAGGTTTAATGTAAGTATAATGGCGCTATGAAATGCCACTGGCACAGGTTGAGAGCAGTTCATGACGCAGCCACATAGAATTGGCTTTCCAGATCTAGATATTTGACTTGGTGATGTTCCCCTTTATTGTAGATATAAAAAATAAATGTCATACAACGTTAAGAGATGCATCTATAAGTGTTCGAGTCTGATGGTAGGAACAGTCTACAATCTCCTCTCACCTGTGCTGACACTTCCTAGTCAACTACATGTGACCCATAACCCCATGTGAGAGTGCCCCTGCTGTACTAAACAAGTTAAAAGTTTCACTTTCAATTTTGCTGAAATGAAGCAACCATAAGTTTTCTTTTCTTTTAACATATTTGGGTGTGACAAAGTCACAGATTTGGGATCAGTGCCAAATTGAGAGCAGAACATTTCTTTAAAAATGTTTACTGTCAAGCCCTGGCTCTGGGGACTCTAGTATGTTGAGCCAGGGTGTGAGTTTTCATTTGTGTTCGTTCTAGTATTGTTTTTCTATGTTAGCCAGTGTGGTTCTCAATCAGAGGCAACGTGAATCAGCTGGTGCTTGTTGTCTCTGATTGGGAACCATACTTAGTCAGCATGTTTCCCACAGTATGGTGTGGGATCTTGTTCCTTTTGGTTTGTGTTTGTACCGTAGGACTTCACGTATCGTTGGTTGTTTTGTTCGTGTAACATTAATAAAAAGCATGTTCACCTTCAACGCTGCGCCTTGGTCCTCTGTTCCCGACGATCGTGACAGAAGATCCCACCAAGACTGGACCAAGCAGCGTGTCCAGGAGCCATCGCCAGGGAGATCTCTAGCGGATCTCCTTCGCCTCCTCGACTGGGTCAAGCCGTGTGAGGAAGAGAGGGGCTTGACTTGGAAGCAGAAGGGCGAAAGGCTGGCGAGAGATATGGAGACCTGGTCCACGGGTAGGAGAGAAGCCCAGAACATTTTTAGGGGGGGGCTCACGCCGTGGACGACGGGGCAGCAGGAGACCGCGATAGAGCGGCCGAGCGGGTTGGCAGAGGAGGCCGCCAGGTTACGGGGGCCACTGGTCAAAAAGGGGAAGGAAGGTGTAGAGGCACGGTGAGAGGTACTGGGGTGTGTTACCAGTCCGGTCCGGCCCGTTCCTGATCCCTGCGTAGGGCCAGTGGTGTGTGTCCCCAGTACGGTCCGGTCTGTTCCTGCTCCCCGCACCAAGCCAATGGTGCGCGTCGCCAGCCCGGCCCGGCCTGTTCCTGCTCCCCGCACTAAGCCTATGGTGCACGTCGCCGGCCCGGCCCGGCCCGGCCTGTTCCTGCTCCCCGCACCAACCCAATGGTGCGCGTCGCCAGCCCGGCCCGGCCTGTTCCTGCTCCCCGCACCAGGCCAATGGTGCGCGTCGCCAGCCCGGTCCGGCCTGTGCCTGCTCCCCGCACCAAGCCAATGGTGCGCGTCACCAGCCCGGCCCGGCCTGTTCCTGCTCCCCGCACCAAGCCTATGGTGCGCGTCGCCAGCCCGGCCCGGCCTGTTCCTTTTCCCCGCACCAGGCCAATGGTGCGTGTCGCCAGCCCGGTCCGGCCCGCTCCTGCTCCCCGCACCAAGTCAATGGTGCGCGTCGCCAGCCCGGTCCGGCCCGCTCCTGCTCCCCGCACCAAGCCTATGGTGAGCGTCGCCAGCCCGGTCCGGCCCGTTCCTGCTCCCCACACCAAGCCAGTGGTGTGCGTCGTCAGTCCGGCACGGCCCGTGCCTGTTCCACCGGTGCCTGGTCCGGCACCGGTCAGCTGCTTCACGCCGGAGCTAGAGCAATCCGCTCCACCAGTGTGCAGTCCAGCTCCGGCCAGCGGGGCCAGACCGGACCAGGGGTACTTTGGGGGATTGGAGAGGGAGTGGGGATCAGGCCCGGAGCCGGATCCGCCGCCAAGGCGGAGTGCCCACCCGGTCCCTCCCCTGTGGTGTTTGGTTGGCGCGGCCGGAGTCCGCGCCTTTGGGGGGGGGTACTGTCACGCCCTGGCTCTGGGGACTCTAGTATGTTGAGCCAGGGTGTGAGTTTTCATTTGTGTTCGTTTTAGTATTGTGTTTCTATGTTGGCCAGTGTGGTTCTCAATCAGAGGCAACGTGAATCAGCTGTTGCTTGTTGTCTCTGATTGGGAACCATACTTAGTCAGCCTGTTTCCCACAGTATGGTGTGGGATCTTGTTCCTTTTGGTTTGTGTTTGTACCGTAGGACTTCACGTATCGTTGGTTGTTTTGTTAGTGTAACATTAATAAAAAGCATGTTCACCTTCAACGCTGCGCCTTGGTCCTCTGTTCCCGACGATCGTGACATTTACTTTCACTTTTACTCAAACCATAAGTGATCAGAAATATTTGTGTTATTATTGAGGTATAATGCAGTATATATTTGGTCTATTTTTCTTGATGAGGAAATGAACAATAAAAAACGATCACAAAAAACAAGTATAATGTAATGAATTCAGGAGAGAACCTGCACTGAACTCAAAACCAAACATTAATTTGGAGTGCAGCAGAAATACAGTCTCTAGTGAAAGTTTACACACCCCTTGCACAGTTTTCACATTTATTAAATCTAAACAGGAATACATTGGAATTTTCCCATCCCAATCTACACAACCTACTCCACATTTTCAAAGTGGAAGATTTTTTTAAATATTCAAAAGAACATATGTCTTCACACCTCAGAGTTAATTAATACTTGGTTGAAGCACCTTTTGCAGTCATTACAGCTGTGAATCATTTTGAATAATCTACCAAGCTCAGTCAATTTGGTTGGGAATCATTGATGGACAGCAACATTCAAACCTTGTCTCTGATTTTCAAACAAATTTAAGTAAGGACTGAGACTGGACCAAACAGTAACACTCAACATCTCTTGGAAAGCCATTCTGGTGTGTCTTTGGCATGACATTTTTTGCAATTATTGTCCCGTAATTTATTTTTTACTCTATCCCAGGGTTTTCAGAAGACTGAGGCAGGTTTTCCTCTATCTTTTTACCTGGGCTTTGCTCCTTTCATATTTCCTTTTATCCTGACAAACTCTCTAACACTCTGTTGTATTGGATTATATTTAGACCATAAAGGTTATGTCTTTGCTGTGTTGTCTTGCAGTATTATGAACAGTCTTATTGCAAACAGAATGAATGATATGGAGTTTATTTTCTAGCACAGGCTCCCTTCTTTTCACTTTGTCGTACAGGCCAGATGGAGAGAATGCAATGTTGTTAATCCTCTGTATTGTGGTGGCAGCAACATGTTATGGGTCATTATCACTTATGTTATCATAATAACTTATGTTCACAGGGCACATGAGTGGGGAAACCTGTTAAACATGAAATACTGTAACATTGCTGATTTTCCCCCTTCCTGCCCTACCCTCAATGTTGGGTTTATAATGACCTGTCTCCCAGCCCAGATACCACTGCTGTTCACCTGCCTGTCTATCTGCCCACGATGAAGCTGATCCTGACTCTCTCTCTCATCTGCACTCTCTTCTGCTCAGGTAACACCTCTGACCTCTCACACTGATATGGGCATCTACCAAGATAAATAGTTTCTTGACTGCATCACTCTCAAATGCCTGTGTTAATATTCATCATAGCTAAATTGCTTTTACAGTATATTAGTACATTTTCTTATTTACTGTGAATTTGTATTATTTTCTTGTTTTTCAGTTGAGATGCTGCAGTGTTTCAACTGCATTGGTGCGGAGTGTGGTACAAACCAACCTTTAGTCACCTGTCCAGACTCATTAAACACAGCATGTCTCACTGCTACTGTAACCATACCAGGTGAGTTTAGAGTTGGTTTCCACTTCATGTTAACGCTTCAAACCAAATTAAATTATGCTGTTAGCTTCCTAATGAAGTATGTTTTTGAACCCTCCTGTATAATTACAATGTACAATATTTCATGGTAACTGACTCATGGCTCTATGCTACCATTTCATTAGATTATGTTCTAAATTCATCTCTCTTTCTCCGGTTTTGTAATGGATCTGTTACTGGTGAAGGTTCCATAAATACCACCCAGACAATCAAGGTGTGTTCACCAATCTCCATCTGCGGTGGTCCTCTGAACTCTGAAACCACAGTGTCATTGAACCTGGGCTTCACAACTGTTGCCTATAAAGCCCTCTGTTGTAACACTGATGGGTGCAACAACAACACTCTACTACCGCCAGGTAAGAGAACTGTGTCTTTTACCTAAATAAGGTTTGGGTTTTTGTAACAATGTATTTGATGTCCTGATTTCAGTTGTCATAGTTTGAAGAAATATATGATCTCAAATACACCAGCTGAGATGTCATGTCTGTTATGGAGATTTTTTCATTTAGTATAGTTTCAAAGCCACCAATGTCAAAGATGGGGAAAATTTTTAATAAAGGCAGGATTTACAACTACATACTGTAGTCAGAAGTGGAGAGCCTTTGTTGCTGCCCTCTGCACCAGAGTGAGTTAAATACATAGCTAAATCAATAGAAGTGTATTTTTCATGTATTTATTTAATATTATTTATTTAATATTGTAGCACTCTGGTATGTAGTCAGTCACGTAGGCAGGGTTGGATAGTAATGGATTACATGTAACTGGGATTACTGGGATTCCTGATTGGACATGTTAAATTAAACAATTTATTTATTGAATCATACCATTTCAGTAATCAATTAGGCTACACTTCTTAATGAAGCATTTTAAAATACTTTGTAAGATGATTAGGCTATAACATTGTTCCACTGCGTGACGCCGCAACAACATTTTGGTGCGACCAAATCATGGGCTGGTACCACCAACTGAGAACATTAACAGGCTGCCCTGTGACTATGCTTTCACACATAAAATATGGAACACGTAAATTATAGGATCTTTATGTCACGGTTTCGGCCGAGGCTGCTCCTCCTCCTTGCTCGGGCAGGCTTTGGCGGTCGTCGTCCCCGGAGTACTAGCTGCCACCGTTGTATGTTATCGATGTTTGTTTGGTTTTGTCTTCTTTGTACACCTGTTTCCTTTTAGTGTTAATTATGTCTGCTATAAGTTTCTCGTTTTGTTAGTCGTGTGTTGTGTGTAATTGTTCCGCCTGTCTTTAGGTGCTGCTCGTTTTTGCATATGGTATGTTCTGGATAGTCGCACTGTGTTTCGTGCGCTATAGCATTGAAGTGTTTTACCCACTGCTGCGTAATAGTTCGCCTCCTGATTAGTTGAGGCCAGTGTTATTATTATTTTTTCGTTCAGTAAAGTCGGTTGGACGAAGCTTCTGTGTCCTGCGTTTGACTCCTACACCACATCCACATCAGCAGTTCTGACACTTTATCCTCTTACACTAGTCCCCTTTTCTGAAATTGTCATTTTACGAAATGAAATAATGCTATATTAAAATATAAAATGATGACAAATTATGTCTGGGTGTTAGAAATGAAGGTAATCCAAATGTAATCCAAAAGTAATCGGATTATGTTACTCATTTTGAGTAATCCATAGGATTACATCACTGATTACGATACTTTTGATGTAACTGTAATCTGTAACAGATCAAATGTTTTTAAGTAATCCTCCCAACCATCCCTGCATGCAGTTGGGGGTTATAACCAGTTAGGCCACTCATCTAACTGAAGGAAAGTGAAAGTCTTTGGAGTCTTTTCACAACCTTAATCCTATACTGTCCAGTCCGTCTTGGGAGTTGAGCATATAGTTAAGACTTCAGATAAATTCACCACCTTTCTCAGGAAAGTTACACTGTACTGTACTGTCTCATTGCCTCAATTCCACTATCAGAACAAGGACAAATGAGAACTAAGGAGAACCAGACAACATGGTTCCTGAATGTGTTTCCATTGTATTACCAATTAAATCTGAACAAGAGTTATTTAGCTACTGTAGCTAGTTATATATTTTTATATTTTTATTTCACCTTTATTTAACCAGGTAAGCCAGTTGAGAACAAGTTTTCATTTACAACTGCGACCTGGCCAAGATAAAGCAAAGCAGTGCGATAAAAACAACCACTGAGTGTAGAATACATATCCACCATAATCCATATCTGTTCTCTTCCTACAGCCCCCAGTTCGCAGGCTAACGGACGACAGTGTCCCTCCTGCAGCAGCCCCCAAGACACAGTGTGTAACAGTCCTGTGGCCTGCCTGGGAGTGGAGGACAAGTGTTTTAGTACCAGTGGTGAGTTGTCTTGTGGTTGTTTTCATGATACAAAAGCTTATGACATTAGGTAATCTCTAGATAATCTTCTGCTGTTGACACAAAGCAGCTATTATTGTTGATTCAAAACAATTCAGAGATTTTAGTTGTTTTACGAGAGAAAGGTGTTCGGACAACTTAGTGTTTTTCTCTTTGACAGTGAAACCTGGCTCTATCAGTTCTACTACGGTGAACCTCCAGGGCTGTACAACTTCAAACGTCTGCAACGCTATTGATCAACTGCGGCCTTTAGCAACCATTGCCAACTTCAGCACTGAGAATTTCACCTGTAAAACAGCCCCTAACACAGCCTGGTCCATCAGACTGAGCCTAGTCCCTCTGCTGCTGGGCCTCACCATCAGCAAACTCATCTGATAGGAACAGAGATGATATCGGGACTCATCTGACAACATAATCCATTGATTACAAAACAACAGGATGTACAATGATTTTCATGTATTGTGAAAGACGTACTTCAAGTGAAATTATGCTATATGGAATTTGCCAGATGATGCCCTGTTACATTATATAGTGTTCTTGTTTGATGGAATACTTTCCTATATACTGTATTACTCTGTACACTGAGTATACAAAACATAAAGAACACCTTCTCTTTACATGACATACACTGACCAGGTGAATCCAGGTGAAACTATAATCCCTTAATGATGTAATTAGTTAAATCCACTTCAATCAGTGTAGATTAAGGGGAGAAGACTGGTAAAATAATGATTTTTAAGCCTTGAGACAATTGAGACATGGATTGTGTATGTGTTATTCAGAGGGTGAATGGGCAAGACAAAATATTTAAGTGCCTTTGAACGTGGTATGGTAGCACGTGCCAGACGCACCGGTTTGTGTCAAGAACTGCAATGCTTCTGGGTTTTTCACACTCAACAGTTTCCGTGTGTTTCAAGAATGGTCCACCACCCAAAGGACATCCAGCAAACTTGACACAACTGTGGGAAGCATTGGAGTCAATATGGGCCAGCATCCCTGTGGAACGCTTTCGACACCTTGTAGAGTCAATGCCACGGCGAATTTAGGCTTTTCTGAGAGTATGGGGAGGTGGTGCACCTCAATATTAGGAAGGTGTTCTTAATGTTTTGTAAACTAACTGTATATTCTATCAAGTGTGTGTACTTAAAGTTGAAAACAAATCATATTTTTCAATGCCAATAAAGTTTCTATCACTCTACCAAAATATAAATGAAGTGTTATCTTATTGTGAATCATATGAAAAAACACAACATTTTTAATTAGGATTGTATGCTTAATTTTTACAGAAAGGATAATACACTCTTAAATCCAAATAACAGAGTGTAAGGGGGAACCATGATCATACACAACGCTACTGTCCAAACAGAAAATAAACTTAGACAGTGTTTTTTATTTGACTTAGTGGATTTAGTTTCTCTCTACATTTATTCTACAGAGGAGAGGAAAACCTGCAGAGGAACAGGACAGAGTTGGGCTTCTGTCTATAGAGGGTGGTCTGCCGTGTAGCGTTCCTCTCAGATCATAGAGAACGTCACCATCGTAGAATTAGGAATTATAATACTAATAATTTAACAGGATTTCTAGGGTCACCATGCCAGTGGTGGCCTCCTCATTTACTTCCACAAAGGCCTTGTGGGCCACCGTAGATAGGAAGAGCCCCCTTCCCATCCTTGTTCATCCAAGACATTATCGGCCCTGCCCCCGTTGAACGTGTCCCTCACCTGTGCTTAGCTAACACTTCCCTGGTCAACTTTGTACCTAGAGTATATCCATGTGGCCAGTGACCCATAACCCCACATGAGTGCCCCTAGTGTACAAAACAGGTTAAAACATCCCTAGACATCCCTCCTACACATAAATTTAACTCAAAGCAAGACTTCTGTAAAGGACTAATTAACAAGTTAATAATAATGCAAGCAAGTAATAGAACACGAAAAGCATATGTAATGCATTTTTATGTTACACAGCATTTCACAGCCTTGTTAAAGAGACAGTTTAGGCTACCCTAACCTTCACACGCTGTCAACTGACAGAATTGACCACAGTTCCTACAACCATTATTGCCATTGCTAAAACGCTTCCTATTGTGCCACCCAGGTCACTGATGTGTTCTCGGAGCTGTTGGAAGGTGGCACCCAGGCCTTTGGTGTAGCTGGACACTTTAGAAGCATCCACCACAAAGACCTTGTCTTTAAGGGACGGCTTCTTCACATAGCCCACAGTCTCCGATCTCACAGGCCGCTCAGGACTGAACTGTAGAGGATGAATGGGATTGAGAACATTAACTTGATTATTAAAACCAACCAGCTGAGAGAGTATTAGAATATTCTCTACTAAACAGAGACATTTATATCAGGGGTGAGCAGCCCCTGTCCTGTGAGGCTGCCTGCATGCTTATGTTCCAACCCAGCACTAACTCACCTGATTCATAATAGTGGTCTAAATTGCAGACTGTGATTAGTTGAATCAGGTGTGTTAGAGCTAAACTGGAATAGAATCCGGCACACACTGTGGCCACTGTTGCATTATTATTGTAATTAACATTATTATTGTAATTATGAATTATAATCTAATTGGTTATTGTCTTATATTTTTGTGTTTACAAGGTAACAGGTAAACACACATGAGCCTAACATTCAGTAAACCATTGAGCAGTCTTTTGATTTCAAAAATATACAAAATAATGTTCAAGAAGACCAATATAGAAAGTTAAACTTTTTTTTACCTTCCTCTTGTCATTTTAAAATGTTTTAATGTCACAATCTAAACTGGACTTCTGACACATTATGGCGTTGTCATACATGTTTGACTTTTATTATATTGAATTATTGTTCTCATATAGGAGATATGAGTTGCGCATTGGGAGAGGGTGTCGAGTCGACAAAATAATATAGTCCCCCACTGCTTTGGAGACTCAGCAGAGTGCTTGTTGTATTCTTTCTCTTGGGCGAGAACAGGGAACCACACAGTAAGAACTCTGTTATGTGTAACTTGTCCGAGAAAGGACATAGTCACAGTCTCTAAGAGAAGTTAGAGCTCCTCAGTTGTAGCGTTAATGTTACCATTATTGCTTGTCATAGTATTGGCCACTAAACACAGGCAAGACATGGCAGAAGAAAGTTGAACTTCAGGTAGTACTGGGCCATCAAGAACAGTAAAGGAACAGGTAAGGACAAATATAGAGGGGAAAAATGAGACACTGTGCTCCAAAAACACAAATGTTCAAGCATCGTCATTCCATTCCACGACTGTTGCTGTTTCATATTTAAATCATCAATGGTGATTTAAAGGCCCAGTGCAGTCAAAAACGTGATTCTCCTGTTTTTCATACAGTTGAATGCAGAAGTTTACATACACCTTAGCCAAATACATTTAAACTCAGTTTTTCACAATTCCTGACATTTAAACCTAGTAAAAAGTCCCTGTCTTAGGTCAGTTAGGATCACCACTTTTTTTTAAGAACGTGAAATGTCAGAGTAATAGTAGAGAGTGATTTCTTTCAGCTTTTATTTCTTTCATCACATTCCCAGTGGGTCAGAAGTTTACATACACTCAATTAGTATTTGGTAGCTTTGCCTTTAAATTGTTTAACTTGGGTCAAACGTTTCGGGTAGCCTTCCACAAGCTTCCCACTATAAGATGGGTGAATTGTGGCCCATTCCTCCTGACAGACCTGGTGTAACTGAGTCAGGATTGTAGGCCTCTTTGCTCGCACATGCTTTTTCAGTTCTGCCCACAAATGTTCTATAGGATTGAGGTAAAGGCTTTGTGATGGCCACACCAATACCTTTGAGGTGAGGACTTTGTTGTCCTTTAGCCATTTTGCCACAACTTTGGAAGTATGCTTGGGGTCATTGTCCATTTGGATGACCCATTTGCGACCAAGCTTTAACTTCCTGACTGATGTCTTGAGAAGTTGCTTCAAAATATCCACATAATTTTCCTTCCTCATGATGCCATCTATTTTGTGAAGTGCACCAGTCCCTCCTGCAGCAGAGCACCACCACAGCATGATGCTGCCACCCCCGTGCTTCACGGTTGGGATTGTGTTCTTCGGCTTGCAAGTCACCCCCTTTTTCCTCCAAACATAACGATGGTCATTATGGCCAAACAGGTCTATTTTTGTTTCATCAGACCAGAGGACATTTCTCCAAAAAGTAAGATCTTTGTCCCCATGTGCAGTTGCAAACCGTAGTCTGGCTTTTTTATGGCGGTTTTGGAGCAGTGGCTTCTTCCTTGCTGAGCGGCCTTTCAGGTTATGTCGATATAGGACTCGTTTTACTGTGGATATAGATACGTTTGTACCTGTTTCCTCCAGCATCTTCACAAGGTCCTTTGCTGTTGTTCTGGGATTGATTTGCACTTTTCGCACCAATGTACGTTCATCTCTAGGAGACAAAACACGTCTCCTTCCTGAGTAGTATGATGGCTGCGTTTTCCCATGGTGTTTATACTTGGATACTATTGTTTGTACAGATGAATGTGGTACCTTCAGGTGTTTGGAAATTGCTCCCAAGGATGAACCAGACTTGTTGAGGTCTACAATGTTTTTTTCTGAGGTCTTGGCTGATTTCTTTTGATTTTCCCATAATGTCAAGCAAAGAGGCACTGAGTTTGAAGGTAGGCCTTGAAATACATCCACAGGTACACGTCCAATTGACTCAAATGATGTAAATTAGCCTATCAGAAGCTTCTAAAGTCATGACATCATTTTCTGGAATTTTCCAAGATGTTTAAAGTCACAGTCAACTTAGTGTATGTAAACTTTTGACCCACTGGAATTGTGAATTATAAGTGAAATAATCTGTCTGTAAACAATTGATGGAAATATTACTTGTGTCATGCACAAAGTAGATATCCTAACCAACTTGCCAAAATTATAGTTTGTTAACAAGAAATTTGTGGACTGGTTGAAAAACGAGTTTTAATGACTCCAACTGAAGTATATGTAAACTTCCGACTTCAACTTTATATATTTCCACACTATAAGTTTGGAACAATACTGTGAAATTGTGAAAATGATGATAATGCCCTTTTAGTGTAAGATCTGTATAAAAAGGCCACCTGAAACGTTCAGTCTGTTTTGGTGGGATGGAGTTTTGCCCTGTCTGGTGACATTAGTTAATAGACTAATAAGAAAGAGAGTTCTAAACCTCTGCCAATAACAGCTCGTTTTCAGTTTTCCCCTCCCCACTCAGACCACTCCCAGACAGAAAAAGCTATTTTTGTTTATTTTTGACCATTTTCATTTAAAACAATCACAGCTACTTCATTTTTACCCAGAAATTGTTTGATATTGAGAAAAAAAAACAGCTGCATTGGACCCTTAAATGTGCCATACAGTGTTAACTAACACAATGAAAAATTATACTGCAACTTGCTATGTTGTACAGTATGTGGGGAAGTAGCATGAAGATGCAATACTGTACTATAATATTCAACAAACATAATTTTATGGGCAGCTTATACAACAGCAGCACATATTTTCTATCAGCAACTTATTTTCAGCATCATGGAGATATACTGGCATCTAGTGATTAAACTTCAAGGATTTGCAAGCTAAATGGGAACCCAATATAAAACAATATGATCTTGTACTAAGTTTTAACTCTAATTTCTCTTCAGCTGGGGTATATTCTGA